AAAATAACTAGAAAACCTATTTAAATTTGAATAAAATAGAAATTACAAGTAGTCCTTAATGATCACAACTGAGCCCACAAAATTTACATTGCTAAGCAAAATTGTTAAGTGAGTCACACCCCATTTCATGACATTTTTTTGCCTCTTCTTAAGCAAATCACTGAAGTTGTGAATCATGCAGGCAGTAAGTGCATCTGGCTTCCCCACTGACTGCTTGTCAAGCACCCTAGGAAGGTTGCAAATGACAATCCCAGAATCCTGGGATGCTGTAGCCATCGTAAATACCTGCTGGTTATCAAGCACCCAAAGTTTGATCACATGTCTAAGGATACTATAACGTCATCAGTGGGAAAACTGGACATAAATCACTTTTTTTCAGTGCCACTGAATGGTCATAGTGTTTAGAGGGATTAGTTCTGACAGGATGGGGCGGGCTTTGAAGAATCATATTTCTTTGCAGTCCTCTGGTCTTGGCACCGTCCCTGAGATCTCTTGAGGCCACTTGGGGGTTTATGCCCTCAGGATCACCTGTATCAGAGTGCAGATGGGGTAGAATTTTCTTAGAACTGCTGAAAGGACTTTGGTGTTGTATCCCTCCCTCTTGGTTGAGAGAGGGCTGCTTAATGTTAATATAAATGGTGTTCTGGATCATAGATCCATTTATCTTGTATAACTCTATGTATCTTGTATAACTCTATGTACTCCTATGTAACAGGTCAAGGGGAGGGATTAGGGTCAGGGGCAGAGCTTCAAAGGCATCCCTGGACACATAAATGGCATCTTTTACCCTTCTTTCAGTTCAATGGTCTCTATCCAGAATGTGGGCTTTGCTGTCTTCAAAAGAGTGGCCTTTGTCTTTCAAATGCAGATGGACTGCTGAATCTTTTCCTGATGGGTTTATTCTTTGTTTCTACGCCATTCCCTAAAAATAATCCCCTCTCTCTCTCTCTCTCTCTCTCTCTCTCTCTCTCTCGCTCTCTCTCTCTCTCTCTTTCTTTCCCTCTCCCTCTCCCCCTCCCTCCCTTCCCCCCCTCTCTCCCCTCTCCTCTTCATTTGTTTGCTGCCTAATTCCCAATGACTCTGGGTTGGCATAAATACTTCATTTATTTACATAGTTTATTTTGAAGTGAAAAGTCCTTGAGTTCCTCATCTATTATTGATATACCTGTTTTGTTTTTCTCCCAAACTAATTGAACAGATTTATTACATTAGTCCTAATCAACCTTGAAACAATATAAAGCTTTAAGCAAAAATCTGATAATTTGGGTTAAAATTGGTTCTTTTCTTGATGCTGAAATGACAATTGTTTCAGGGAAGCCTCAGTGGACAGAAAGTTTCATAAACAGACTTTCTATTAAAACTGTTCACTAAAAAAAAAAAATGAAAGTAGCCTTGTTTTTCACAAGGATAATAAGTGAAGCTACTTTTTAACAATTTTAAAACATCGAAATTTAATATGAAGTGTTCTGCATAGTAACGGTTTAGGCTTTTATTTTAAATCTTTCTTATAAAATCATTTAATTTGCCATCAGCGTATGTAGTTTATAATAGAAAAGCATAATGTGACTTCATTATAGTTGCACTGGAAGAAAAAAAAAGTCACACATGGTTAACGTTTTACTCCTCGGTGCTTTATGTTGAGGATCAAAGAGTTTAAATCAATATACTGACCTTTTTTGTTGCATAACTAATCAGAAGATAAGGAGCACTAGTTTAGATTTTTCATCTTTCAGCTTCTGTTCTGATTTGACTGCTTAGATTAGTTCTTGGACAGTTTCTCAGTATGCAACTTTTCTGTAGTGTACTTTCTTAGTCCTTTTCTGGAAGGTCATCTGCAACAATTCATAAAGTTTTTGCCAGATTCCTTTATCACACGAGAACATTTGTTCTTTCAGTATGACATCAGTTTGCTCATTTCATAATCGTGAAATATGCTGTAAATGCAATACACACAGTTCAAAAATCAGTGGCTTTCCCGATCCTTATACCTCATCATTTTTAGTGGGTTGAAAATTGCATCACAATACCCTTGTGTAATTGGACCTTAACCTGAATAAAATAATTTTTTAGTTCCCAGCATTATGCTGAAATCCCAAGATTCTTTCAATGAGTTAATTTTGTGAAATAGGATGAACATAGATGCCCAACACTGAATTGAATCATTGGTCTTATTATCTCCCTATTGTTTTACTCCAATGTTTCAGATAAAGGTAAATTATATTTAAGATAAGGACTTATATCATCAAACATATATAACATATTGGACAGCTAGATACTTTTGGAAACAGGCCAGCATAGATAGAAAAAAATATGACAACATTTTCATTGTTTTTTCCCTAGCAGTTGTTAGTTTAAGTATACTGGAAGTGATTCAGGGTATAATAAACAGCTACCATTGCTGGTCATCTATGGAGATTTGCTTAGTCACTTTAATTGTAATATGGTTGTGTGCAAAAATAAGTGAAATCAGGTTAGCTGGGGAAAAAAGGTGTTAGTTACACCCTGGGAGAAAGGAAGATCTGTTACTCACAAATATTAATTAAATATTAAAGTAAGTTATAGCAATTGTTTAAGTTATTTGTATGTTGATTGTATTGTGTAACAATTGGTATGCTATCAAATCTGATAGATCAACAGCACATACATTTAATAAATCATAATTTGCATCAATTGATGTCATTTGCATAAGGACACATGGGATAGACAGAAATAACATACTTGCATCCTTAATGTGATAGCACATTATGCAAAAATGATAGAAATAGCTATAGAGATTTGACCTGTCACATCTGTTATATTGAGACGGGTTATTTTAGAACAGAAGTGGGTAACTATGGCCCCTTTTATCACTTGTGAACTTCAACTCCCAGAATTCCTGAGCCCTTTTAGAAGGTCAAGCTGATAATGTAACAAAAGCTAAAGGAATTGTGTTGTGGTGAAAAACCACTATCCCTGAGTATTTAGAGAAGGGAGTCTCAGAAGAATGAAATGGGAAGGGCAAGGGAGTTTGTCATAGTGGGAGATAGACTGTGCAATGCCTCATGGAACATTTATTTGGCCTTTCATGAATTCAATACTTTCTAGATTCTCCCAAGAAATTAGTTGGACAAGCTGCATAAGGAGGTCAAGTCTCTCTGAAACTGGTTAAAATGGCCAGCAAAGCCCAAAGCTGCCATTTGAAGACCATATAAAGTTGATTCCTTTATATGACAGAATTTTGAAAGATGTCTTTTGTTTTCTGATGGAAAATTCTATTTGATCTGATTTTGACTTCAGCTTACCTCAGTGGTGGACTGGCCAGAGATGGAGGCTCTGTGCTAAGCTCACGTCCACAAAAACAGTAAGCAGGCTATTAGAGCTGGGTCAAGGAAAGCAAATGGATCGACTCACTCTTGATATATATATATTTAAGGGGTCCTTGGTGCTCCCTGAGCTTGCATGTTTCCTTGTAGACGTTTCATTACCCTAACTGGGTAACATCATCAGTGCTAGTAAGAAGTACTGTTTACTGTAAAATTATATTCTGGTGTCTTGCCTGTTTGTGTGGTTGGGGATGGTCTTAGGGATTCTTTGGCTGGGCTGTTTACTAATGGCTCTTTGGCAATTTCTTGATTGGTGATTTGCTTACTTGATCATTAGTCTGAAGTTGACCTTGGGGTTAATCTATGCTGATCTGAGTGCTGATTACTGGTGGAGAGGTGCTGGAGTCTTTTTCTCTTTTAGGCTGGTCGATTGTCTCTTTTGCATAGTCTATAAATATTGTTAATGTAGATAAATTTTTTTTAGATTAGATAACCTTTATTGTCATTTTTTTTTTACTGTGGGCACAACAGCACACATTAAAAATGAAATTTAGTTGCTTGCACTCAAAGTGTATACATACATAACACACATTTAAACATACTATATACAACATATGTATAGACCTATACCCTTACATATACATAACATATAAATATGCATCACTGTCCATCTTGAATACATAATGGAAGGAGGAAGCTTTAGAGTTCACAAGGTTAATACTGTATGGAACAAAACTGTGACTAAATCTAGATGCTCTCCTCCCAGAAGGTAACAAGGAAAACACATCGTGAAAAGGATGTGTAGTGTCCCAGACAATCTTACGGACCCTGCTCAAGTATGTGCTATGTCCTGGATGGAGGGGAGGGAACTGCCGATGATCTTTTCAGCCATCCTCACCATTGTCTGCACTGCCTTCCTATCAAAAGCAGTGATGCTGTATGGCAGGATGCATCACCATAAGGTAATGGCCTATGTCAGGGGTAGGCAACCTTGGCTCTTTTATGACTCGTGGACTTCAACTCCCAGAATTCCTGAGCCAGCATGGCTGGCTCAGGAATTCTGGGAATTGAAGTCCACGAGTCATAAAAGAGCCAAGGTTGCCTACCCCTGGCCTATGTTAACAAAAAGCACTGATGGTGTCCCATCAAGTTGGTGTCAGCTCTTAGCGACCACATAAGACAGGCATCCCCCCCAAATGTGCTCAACTCGAGTTCAAGATGGCTGGCAGAAAACTGGAACAATTTCATCCCTCCGTCCATACTCCGAGGGCATCCCGCGTTGTCGTGAAACATCATCTTTCTAGTCGTGCCACAGTTTACACGGGATCGTGCTAACAAGACACCTCCAGTGGAGGCCAGCCCTCCCGAATGGAAGTTGTTACTCTTCACGGGAAGGAGGCCAAGACTCAACAACTCAGCTTCAGCACACAACGCTAAGGGAGGGGAGGGCCCGAGGAGACTCGCTCGTCCAAGACTACTGCTGACTCGGCAAGCTCGGTCGCCTCCCCGACTCTGTTGCAATCTCTCTGCTTTGCCCTGAAGGACGGGACAATCACGCCGCCCGCTCGTGGCCACTGGTCAATAACTGGCCCGGCTGCGAAGCGCCGACCAATCCGCTCGTAGGCAATTGCCATACCCCTGCGAAAGAAACCAATAGAAAAGCAGAAACTCTGAGGAGCCCTGCCGTTCAGGGAGCTCCGGAGTTCGAGAGAGCTAAGAAGAAGAGAGGCGCGCGTTGAGGCAGGCAAGAAGAGCTCCGCCACTGGCAACCATGGACGCTAAGAAACACGTAGCCAATTTCGGCGCAGGACCTGCTAAGCTCCCGCGATCGGTAGGTAACTCCGAATTGTCGAAGGCAATCTGAGAGGAGATCCTAAAACGGAGCGGGAGGGATGCTCCGCGCTTTTTAATTGGGGAAAGTTGCCCCGAGATTGTGGTGCCGCTGATGCCTGGGAAGCAAGCGTGGCTACCGAATAAATCTTGGCTTTTACCTAGGGATTACTTTAAAACCTGAATGCTCTCTTAAGTGCCCATCTGAGAAAACTTTTGGAAGGATGCTTGGAAATTTTGACTGCAGGACTGTTCTTGGAAAGAGATGATGGGAGAGATGCTTCTATATTTTGCATCGGGCCAATTTATTTTTATTTTTAACAAATACTTTTGGTGCAAAGAGTCGGGAAACGGTGTCTCTGTTGACATGGTTGCCCTGGGAATTCCGTGCTAGCGATCTCAATTATACTCTTTAAGCGTGAAGTTTTTACTCGATTTACTAAACTTCCTAGTATAGTTGGCACAGTATTGACTTTATCTTTTAATCTTAGTTTAAAGTAATATAAAGTTGGCATATTGATGTTTTACCGTTCCAAATCTGATGCAATCTAAAAGACCAATTTTTTGTAAAAAACAAAAAAACAAAAAACAACCCCCCAGAACATTATCATTTGCAAATAAGACATTAGTAAATGGAAAAATATTTTTTTTCTTTCAAAGGTATATTTACAAAGCAAGGGCCCACATTTCAGGATTGCAGGATATTTTGTCTTTGTATTCCCCCCTCTTTAATTCCTAGTATTAGCATGACACAGTCAGATCTCCAGCTTCTTATTTTTATTTCATGTTATTTCAATCATAACAAGTTGTATTTCTGGCATAGCAGCAAAATCTTATTGCTAGATTGGCTTACCTCATGGCTTGCATACTCAAGTTATAGTTGTACCCCCAGAGCACAAATTCTGATACATGCAAAAAAGTAGGGCTTTTCCTGTTTTTCCATTTGGGAAAACTGGAGTATCTTAATTTCATTTTGTTTGTGCATTCAAGAGAGGAGCATTTGAAAAGTCCATTGTCTTCTCTTACTGAATAAATCCTTTGTGAATGTGTAGGGCAGACATAATTATAGATACAGCAGGGTACAACTTCAGGCAGCTTCATGCTAACTGAATATTTCTCATATGTAACTCAATTTAATACAAAAAGTTGCATCAGCAGCTGTCTTGATCCAATTACATTTGGAGGGTGTGGTTCTTTATATCTGGTTTTTCAGCTTTCCAGCAGAACTGCATGTCTAAACAGTTTCAAAAATAACTGTGTTTCTTACTGAGGCTTAGAAAAGAAAATGGTATTGCCATCTATTTAGCTTAGTTAACATTTTATCTGGGATATTCTCCCTCCCTTTTAAAGGAAACAATTTTCTATGTGAACTAGCTTGTAAGGAGTGCCTATGGAGCGCCTCAGTCATCCAGGTCATGGTTGTACCAAAGTGCTTTTCAAAAGGCAAGTGGACTTTCTTGTTTTTTTTCCCCTTGACAATGTTTCATTTCTCATCCAAGAAGCTTCTTCAGTTCTGACTGAACGGTGCGGAATGGAAGGATTTATATTCTTTGTAGTCAACTGGTTGTTAGCACTCTTAGAGTTGTTAAGGAGTTTATCTGTATCCTCTGGGTATCCTGAATCACCTTTTGAAGACTGCAAAGTCCACATTCTGGACAGAGAGGACCACTAGTTTGAAAAAGGGGTCAAAGAGGCCATCTATGTTAAAATTGAACAGCCTTCTCTCAACAGAAGGGGAGGGATAAGACGCCACCTTGTCTACAACACAGTCCTTTCAGCACTCCCAAGAAAGTTCCACATCCATTTGCAACTCTGATTCAGGTGACCCTGAGGGTACAGATAAAACCCCAAGTGGCCTCAACGACTGACCTAAACTGACAGATAACTGACAGATAGCTTCAAGGAATCTAAATCAATCTTCTCTTTCCCCACCATTCAGCCAGGACTGAAGAAGCTTAGCAAAATGTTTTCAAGAAAACCAAGAAAGTCCAGTTGCCTTTTGAAAAGCACCTTTGAGACAGTTGGTAAGGATTTCTATACCAGAGCCTTATTTTAGAAATTGAGTAGGACTAGATGAACTTTTTTAAAATCAGATTTGATGTTTAGTAAGACTTATACCTGAAGGCACTGGTATAATTGACTGTACAAAGGTATCTTTGTTTCTCAATTAGGTTTAGATAGATAGATAGATAGATAGATAGATAGATAGATAGATAGATAGATAGATAGATAGATAGATAGATAGATAGATAGATAGCAAGTGAGCTAATTTTCTGAAAATGGCTAATTTAACAGACTGGCCCTGTGGATAATATCTTCCGGGAATCCAAATCTACAGCTGATGATCCCATCATCGGGGCCAGCAAATCATAGTAACTCAAAAGAGTACGACAGCTTTGAAGATCTAGAAAACCCTTTACAGTTCAATGAAACAAAATAGAGAATGAATCTTTTTTATGCTCTAAAGGAGAAGGATGAATGACAAAAGTTGTTCTGTGAATAACTCATCCAAAATAAAAGTGGTATAAATGAGGATTTTTATCTTACTGTGGTCTGCTGAACATTAGAACATGGATCTTTTGGGGCTGCTAGACACTCATGGAATTTTTGTTCACATGTTGCAGCATGGCAATTGCAGTTGTGGGCTTATCCAATTGCAGAATGATTGTTACAGAAGTTATAAAACACTGTTTTATATAAATTCCCAGCCACTTCTAGCTCCTGTTTTGCTTGTTGCTCTATTATTTATTTATTAGGATATTTATATCCTACTTTTCTTTCTGTTAGACAGTCAAGGTAGCTTACAATAGTAAATGAAATACAAATTTTACACAAAAAGGTATCAATACAAATAAAATCTAGATATAAACACTGTTAGGGAGAAAGCATGGAGGAAGAGATGTGCTTTTATCAGTTTCCTTAGGACTAGGAGATTGGGGGACAAGACCATCTGCTTTCTTTCTGAAAATCTTTTTTTTTTGGCAGTAGGGATCTTTCAAAAATAATCCATGGGTTTCAGCTGCTTATTTTTTTGTACTTTTTAAGAAAATGTATAACAAAAAGAATGTTGGAAAAAAGATGGTGAAAGCTGATGCTTTTACTTTGCAGCGTGTCAGTTTCCCTTTTTATTTTTTATTTTTAAAAACATAAAATGTCAGCTGGGAATTGAAACCTGGCAAAGTCCTTCAGAAGGTATATACAGCACAGTGGCTTCTCTTGGTATCTTGTTGGGAATTCCAGCTTTCAAAACAGATTTTATATTTATATAGTTGCAGATGGCCTAAGATACAACTGGATAACAAATCCCTGTGTTACTTGTAAAGTCTAAATGACATTTTTGTGTTGATGAATCTTTCAGGCAAAGATTTCCCAAAGTGAAGCTCGTTTAACATAAAAAAATAAATAATCCAGAACAGCTGAGAATCTAATAGATAGTGGAATGTGAAAAGAAGACAGAGTAATCCAAATGTGAAGAAGAATGGCTGGATTGTGTGGGTAATCTTGAGAAAAGAGTTATGACCCATTTGAGTTAAGTTGATTAAATGCAATATGCAGGCCAATGCATCCTTCAAATTATTTTTCCACTTAGAATCCATACTGTTGTATAGTTATAGTAGGCTTACCATGTAGACTGTAACATTTCAGATGATCAATAGTTGGCAACAAAGATCAAGAGTTTTTGCTTCTCCTCATTGCCCTGTAGTGGTCTTCTGAATTTTTGCAGGCCAGATAAAATAAGCCTAGAAGATTACTCAGTATTGCAAAGCACATACTTCACAACATGGAAGATCTTGGGACCAATCTTTGGCATCTTAGCTGATAGAAACATCCAGAGCCATTACCAGTCAGATTAGGCAATACTTGGCTAGGATCTTGGTAGAATTATACCACTTACTCTTGGATAAATGTTAAAGCAAACATGTTAAGATGCAAACAATAATGAATCTAAGTGACTTTCTCTCTATAGAACATATGATTTGCCTGTGACATGAGCATAATTGTGACAAATATTTTTTGCAGGTATTATTGGAAGCCCAGCAAGAATTGGTGGATTACAAAGGCCTTGGTATTAGTGTCCTTGGTAAGGAACTCATCTTTATTTGGGGTGTTAAAGAAAATGAAAACATAGGGAACAACTGCCATAAAGAAGAAGGGGGGGGGGGGTCAACCTATTTTCCAAAGCACCAGAAGGCAAGACAAGAAACAATGAATAGAAACTAATCAAAGAGACAAAGCAACCTAGAATTAAGGAGAAATTTCCTAACAGTGAGAACAATTAACCAGTGGAACGGCTTGCCTTCAGAGGTTGTGGGTGTCTACCACTGGAGGTTTTTAAGAAGAGACTGGATAGCTACTTGTCTGGAATGATATAGGGTCTCTTGCTTGAGCAGGGGGTTGGACTAGAACAGAGGTCCCCAACCTTTTGGGCCCCAGGGACCGGTTCTGTGGAGAGATGTTTTTCCACGGACCAGAGAGTGTGTGGTTTTGTGTGCTGTCTGCATCTCGTGGATGAGGCTTTGCTTGTTTGTGTGGACCGGTTGCTGGCATGCTGCGGCCTAGTACTGGGGACCCCTGGACTAGAAGACCTCCAAAGTCCCTTCCAACTCTGTTAATCTGTTGCAAGCAAAGGATCAATACTCAGTTGATCTGAAAGAAAGGGGATCTTGCACTTGTGGGAAAATGTTAGGAGAAAAATGATATTTGATCATTAGAGACACTGAGCAGTATTTAAATTGTTCTGGTCCTGTTGCAGCATTCCAGCACTAGTATGCAATGCCAACTCTTGTTACTATTCCCCTTTTAAGTTTTCTAATGAAATGACCTGAGGCTCCAACTGTTTCAGCTCTTTCTTCTGAACCAAGAAAATTTATTTTATTTCACTTTACTGTATTATTCTTATTTTTTATCACTTTGACGGGCATGGGAATGTTCGTGCATTCTTCTGTCTGAAAGTCATTTCAGTGGCGGGAGCTGATCTAAGGACCCCATTTTTGCAGCCTTGGTTCTTTTGCCTCTATTCAGTGTATGAAACATGATACCTAAGCAGAATGTGCTCACTGGTGCATGCGATAGAAAATTCCTCATTTGGGCCTGCGCTCCATTTATCCATGACACCCTTGTGGAGTTTAGCAAATTAATTTGTCTTCTCTGTTTACGGTTTCTTAGGTGTTTTTTTAATGAGCTGATTTTTAAAGCTGCTTGAAGAAAGACAAGTTAAAATGCAGTCATTTGAAAAGCTATGTTTGTTTTTATAATGATATCTTTGATTTCCTTTCTCTAGAAATGAGTCACAGAACATCTGATTTTTCAAAAATCATCAAAGCAGCTGAAAACTGTTTACGTGAACTCCTGTGAGTTATCCTGTTTATTCACGCCATTAAAAGCTTGACTTCTGAAAATACCGTAGTGGCAATTAATGTTTTTCCTTTGGATGTGTAGTATATTCATGATTTTTCACTGAAACATTATCTGTGTATGGTTTATTGCTACAGAAATAAAACGGGGCACCTTGTGTTTTGTTTATGGCATGGATTGTTCCAAACATTTTGCAGGGAGGTTTTTTTTAATCATTTATATTCTATGATAGCTTGTAACAGCCACATGTTACTTCTAATGTCTATGTTAATACTGAACATTAATGGCTGGATCTCAACTAAGTTCTTTGCCATTGTTAAAATCAGGCTGACATTTTTCACATTGATCTAAACAGGATTTAAATTTAACTAATTAGATCCAATGCAGTCTTTTTAACAAATATATTAACTATTGGGAAGAGGATAATTTAAAGTAGAGAATTGGCCAGTGGATTTTAAAAAAACCATTTTCTGCTAGGGGTGCGTAGAGGATGTAGCTGTCAATTGTCCTAACTGAAAATTGTTGTAATGGGTATTTTCATAGGAAGGCAGAATCTCTTTGCCACGTGACATTCCTTGCAAAAGTTGATACAACTATATGATGAAGCTTGGGCAAATTTGCTAGGGAAAAAAGTCACGAGCTTCACACTGTTTGTTTTCTAGACTGTTTTATAACATGACTGAGAGTATCTTCACTTTCCCTTATATCTCCTTGTGACATATGGGGCTCCTGAGTGGTAATAAGGACAGAATATATACATTTTTAGTAGGTGGGTTTTGATTCATTCTCAACACAGTTGGTGCCAATAGCTGAACATATCACTCAGAATGTATTCAAGAGATGGAATGCTCATACATCAGTTTCAAGAGAGGCTAGAACAGTGATGGCGAACCTTTTAGAGACTGAGTGCCCAAACTGCAACCCAAAACCCACTTATGCATCGTCGGGTGCCGGGTGGGTGTGGCCCATTGGGTGGGTGTGGCCCATTGGGTGGGCGTGGCTGTGGTGGTAACGGCAGACTGGGTGGGACTAAAAAGTTCAATCAATCAATTCCAACTTTGCAAGATTTTTTTTCCTGCGAGAAGTTGAAATTGACTGATTGACTGAACCTTTTTTTTTTTTTGCACACCGCGGTGGAGGCCTAAAGCGAAAAGGTTTTATAAAACCCAGCTGAAGGCCTAGGACTGGGGCAACTGCACGCGTGCCCACAGAGAGGGCTCTGAGTGCCGCCTCTGGCACCCGTGCCATAGGTTAGCCACCACTGGGCTAAAAGATGGCCTTTTAGGAGTTTTAGGAAGATGCCTCTGCAATTCTTTCAGTTTGACAAGTGCTGTTTTTGCCAATTATTGTCCTTTGTGGAGACCAGACTTCTACCAAGCGTGTCTGTATGTGGAATCTACTTGGAGGATGGCATGATTTAAAGATTGTCACCTTGCATATTACAAACATGTGATGTATCTGGATTGAAGTGATTGATGAAATTAGTTCTGATTTCTTGGAGATCTCTCTTTTAGAGGGCTAATTAAATCCTATTAATCAAATATTGAGCCTTTTCCCCCCAATTCAATCTGGCATTTTGAGAAGCGGAATAATTATGTTATGCATTTTTCCAACAAAAAAACAGAGCAGTATAACTAGATTATCAAGACCCATTCAAGTATAAGCAAACATACGTTTCTTACTTTACAAATAATATCTATCAGTCTGATAGAAGAATATTATGCTTTGAGCCATCATTTGGGGTGATTATTTTTTAAGTAAACATTAAGTTTTATAAAGTTTTCTCTGCTTGGATGCCGTCTTCTGTTTTTACCAGGCATAATGAATGAATAATCATTTTTTCCAAATCTTTTCTTCTGTTTTGTACAGCAATATACCAGACAATTACAAAGTGCTATTTCTCCAGGGTGGTGGATCTGGCCAATTCAGTGGCATTCCACTTAATCTCATTGGGCTCAAAGAAGCCAGGTGTGCTGATTATGTTGTTACAGGAGGTTGGTCAGCCAAGGCAGCAAAGGAGGCCGAGAAATATGGAAAAGTGAACCTTGTACATCCCAAGCTTTCAAGTTACACAAGTAAGTTAACTTGAGAAGGCTTACATTAAAATCTATACTAGGTTATTTTTTTTCCTATTGTTTGATAGTCTTCACATTATAGAAGTGTGTACATATGCAACTTTTCTGTACCTGTATCTCTTTGTACTTATACCTCCTTACTACAGTTCCTTTCAACTGGTCCAAAAGGATGCTATGATTGATGGCATTAAAAGCCACTGATGGTTCAAGAAAGGCTAGGTTAGCTGCATTGTCCCTTTTCTAGCACTGCTGCATATTCCTGAGAAGTGCCATCCATGTTGGTGAAGTATTGTGCCCAGACATAAAATACCTTTACAAAGGGTCCAGATAATCTGTTTCTTCCAGAGTCCTCTGCAATTGCAATATTTTTGATACACTTCCACAGAAAGGAGAGATTGGAGGCTGGACAAAAGTTGTCCAAGGCAATTGATTTAGCAATCGCCTCTTAAATAGGTGGCACACCAGTGGAAGCGCATACATACCCAGAGAAGCTAACATCACTGCATGGAACTAACCACATGCAATCTTCTGGGAGGACTTCAGCACTCAACACACAAGAATCTAACAAAAAATTGGCCAGGTTAACAATGTCAAAGATGCTGTCTACTTCATCAGGAGTTACAGGATCAGGCTACTTCCACTAATCAAGTATGATGTTGACTCCATCATGACTAGACTAACTCAGTTGGCATCCAACTTTGTGAATCTGCTAAATCAGGGTCCCCAATCCCTAGTCCACGGCTTAGACCTGGTCTACGGCCCATTGGGGAACCGGACCGTACAAGCAGCGGTTGAGTGCATGGGTTCATGAAGCTCCATTTGCGCAAGCAGCAGATGTGCACACAAAACCATCCCTCCCCCTGCTGTTGCTGCCAGTCTACAGAACCGGAAAGATTGGGGACTGTTGTGCTAAATGCCTTCTTCACAGCATCCAGGAAATGTTTCTGTGGTCTGCCCCTCTCCCCAAATGATCATATCTCTCCATAAAAGGCAGCTGGGTGGCTATCAGCAGACACAATAAGAATATGGAAATAACTATGTTTTGCTATTATATAATCTCTAATATAGGCCCTTACATATGCTTGGTTTAGGTTCAGTTTCAGTTTTCTCCTTTGGTGCTCTTGGGTCCTGCTGTTGTTTCTTGATATTTCATCTCCCACGGTTCCTCAGAAAACCAATTGTCATCCCCCTCCACATTGAAATACTGTACAACAAGAGACTACGTAGAGCAATCCAGTCAAAGTCTTTTGTCACCTTCCTATTTCCAGGTAGAAAGCAAGGGCTCAGACAGTTCTGAAACATGGCCAGTGTGATACATGGTATACAAAATTATCTTTTAAAATAAATGCCATGTTATATAAAAACTGATAAGTACAAGGGTAGGCAACGTAGTGTCTGCCAACTAATTTGGGCTACAATTCCTTTATCTCATAACCATATTGACTGTGGCTGATAGGAATGAAGGCTCCTTGGTGCTCTCTGAGCTTGCTTCTTTTCTTGCAGATGTTTCATTACCCTAACTAGATAACATCATCGGTGCTAGTAAGGAGTGCTGTTTGCTGTCAGTTTATATCAGGGGTCTTCAAAGTTGGCCCTTTTAAGGCTGGTGGACTTCAACTCCCAGAATTCCTCAGCTAGTGTGCCTGGCTGAGGAATTCTTGGAGTTGAAGTCCACCAGTCATAAAAGGGCCAACTTTGAAGACCCCTGGTTTATATTCTGCTGTCTTGCCTGTCTGTGGGTGGAGGTGGTCTTTAAAATATCTGGAAGGTCTTTAGTTTCCTATCACCGAGCTAGTGGACACATATATTTCTATTCTAAAAAAGGTAAGTTGTGTTGCTCTGAATTCACTGCAGTGTTTCCAAGTTGGTTCTCTAGGTATTGCAAATATCAGGTATTGAATGTTTGCTTCTGTCTCTGGCTTCTGATGCAAACCAGTAACCTTTGCTCATTCCCTGACTGAGATGGCAGGTTCCTAATCATGAGGAATTCATGGATTTCAAAGTAAATGGGTGAACTATTTTGGTGTAAGTGAGTGAGAGAGAGAGAAAGTATAAAGCAGTAATTCTCATTTTTTATGATCCTTTATAAAGGTTCTGCTGATATTCAGGAGCATTAATAGCCAGTTTAAGGTTCAATAAGTAATCGAGGATTAATTTATTTGCTTCAAAAATAATTTATAGAGGAAATTTTCAGCACAGCACTTCTCTATTGTTCACTAAAGCAGCCCATCTTTTTCTTTAGGCTACTGCTTTAGAAGTTGTGACTGCTTTAAAAAGTTCAAGTTACAGCAACTCTTGCAGTAGCTGCAATCTTTTTCCAAGATGAGGCAGAAGCTTAAAAAAAAAGGCTATTTTAATGAATAGCAGAGATGCTCCAACCATGTATGTTGTCTTCTGAGTGATTTTCAAAATAAGAATTAACATTCAAAACTAGAATGCAATGCCAGGGAAATGCACATGGAGCTTTTGTATTTAAAAAAAGTATGTTCCTTTAAATCAGGGGTAGTCAACCTTGGCTCTTTTATGACTCGTGGACTTCAACTCCCAGAATTCCTGAGCCAGCTTAGCTGGCTCAGGAATTCTGGGAGTTGAAGTCCACGAGTCATAAAAGAGCCAAGGTTGACTACCCCTGCTTTAAATGCTCAAATACTTTGAAACTGAAAGTTATTTTGATTGCTCGCCAATTACTTTCTTTCCATATCAAATGGATTTTCCTTTCCCAGTTTATCAAACTCTGCTTTTTCCAAGAAGTTGCACAAGGTTGTGGAGGCTGACGTATTTATTTTTTTTTAATACTTTCCTTGCTGAAGTAGGAGATTAACTCTGCTGGCAGTGCATTTGACCTTTGGCAGTCATTCCTGGCATATCAATGCAACCAACAGGCTGAAATAAAAAAAAAGTAACCATTGTTTTCCATCTTATCTTTTTCAGAAATCCCTGACCCAAGCACCTGGAACCTTAACCCTGATTCCTCTTATATCTATTATTGTGCAAATGAGACTGTTCATGGTGTGGAGTTTGACTTTGCACCTGACGTTGGAAAAGCAGTCTTAGTTTGTGATATGTCATCAAACTTTCTCTCCAGACCAGTGGATGTTTCAAAGGTAACTTTCCAAAAGGCATTTCGCAATATGTAATGATCTCAAATTTAAGGTCACCAAGGCCAGTGCTTCTGCTCCTCTTACTGAGGGCTGATCATATTGAATTTACAAGCTTGGATATGTTCTATGCATTAATGAAGCAGTTAGAACTGTATAAATGTTTTACCAATGCACCCATGAATGTAATGGATCTTTCTTTTTATTTTTCCCCACCCAATGATAAGTTTGGTGTCATTTTTGCTGGTGCCCAAAAAAATATTGGTTGTGCCGGAGTCACAGTGGTAATACTGCGTGAGGATTTACTTGGATATGCTCTGAAAGAGTGCCCCATTGTGTTGGACTACAAAGTGCAAGTAGAAAACTCTTCGTTATACAACACACCTCCATGCTACAGGTAATTTTATGGTGGTAGTAGTAGTAGTAGTAGTAGTAGTAGTAGTAGTAATAATAATAATAATAATAATAATAATAATAATAATAATAATAATAATAATAATAATAATAATGTTGGATGGGACCTTGGAGGCCATCTAGTCCAACCCCCTGCTCAGGCAGGAAACCCTGGCCTATACCATTTCAGACAAATGGTTGTCCAGTCTCTTCTTAAAAACTTCTGTTGTTGGAGCATTCACAGCTTCTGGAGATAGGTTGTTCCACTGATTAATTGTTCTAACTCAGGAAATTTCTCCTTAGTTCTAGATTGCTCTTTGGTTAGTTTCCATCCATTGCTTCTTGTCCTGCCTTCGTGTGCTTTGCAGACTCCCTCTTCTTTGTGGCAACCCCTGAAATATTGGAACACTGCTATCATATCATGCCTAGTCTTTCTTTTCATTAAACTAGACATACCCAATTCCAGCAACCGTTCCTTATATGTTTTAGTCTCCAGTCCCCTGATCATCTTTGTTCCTCTTCTCTGTACTCTTTCTAGAGTCTCAATATCTTTTTTACATCATGGTAAACACATTTTGCTAAAGTTAATATTAATTTCATTCTACTAATTACTTAGAAGTTTCTTACAATTGACTTACTTTTTGATCATTAATGGAAAGGAGGGTCAAGAGAAGTTGGAGAAAGTATTTGAGGTCACCTTCTGAGTTGGGAGGGCTTCTAAAATAGAGCAGAGGTCCCAACACAATCTTGAACTAGTTGTTATGTCTCCACTTCCTCATGTTGTTCTGATTATAGTAGGACAATTAATATCTGAATAGGAATGCAATGGCTGCAAACAGAATCCTAAATGAAGCTTATTTGTGGTTGTTCCCTTTTGACTATTGCCCGCCAATACATTGAAAGAGATCAAGATGTATTCGGAACCAACCCAGTCATTTCTTTGACTGGGTGTCTCTTTCCACACCATACGTTTCTATATGTCACCTGCAAACTTCTGGTTGAAATAGAACAGGGGTGTCAAACTGGCAGCCCGTGGGCCGGATGCATCACACGCAGGCCATGCCCACCCCAGCTCCGCAAAGGCAAAAAATATCGCAATACAACACGATATGTCACGTGACGCAATCGAGTTTGACACCTGTGAAATAGAAGCTCACTGAGTGAGCTTTGAGCCAGTCACTTTCTACCTCACAGGGTTGGCTGTGGTGACATAAAGCAGGAGGCAATACTATATATCTCAACTTGAGCTCCCGAATGAAATGGTGATATGAATCTAGCAAGCAAACAAATATGACAACGGCTGCCATTCCATTAACTCTGGATCCAATAGCATTATAAGTAGAGCTTCACTTTAACTAAACCAAAGATCAAGTAACTTGGCACCCTCAAAAGAATTGGGCCACAATCTCTCTGGATCTATGTATACAGTAGTTTTAGACTTTATGGTGCCAAGATTGCTACTCCTCATCTAGTTTTATCAAGAGATGGAGGGAAGTGATTTTTCCTTGTAGCCCCAAATTTCAGGTAAAGCCTGGCTTAGTATTTCCCTTTCGACCATTGGTGAATGTTGGATGTATTGTACTATCTAATCCATTTAGTACCAGCACACAAAACCTACTGTGCTAACCTTAATCTTGAGGGAAACTCTTGAACTGTTTGAAGAACAGTTCAGAAAATTTGAGTGCTGCAAGAAATGTTAACTCTAGAACAGGCGTGTCAAACTGTCGGCCCGCGGGCCGAATGCATCATAGCGAAACCACGCCCACCCCATTGCTGGCAATGGCAAAAAAAGTCATGATACATCATGATACGTCTTGTGATGTTGCGAGTTTGACACCCCTGTTCTAGAACAATCAGTTATTTGTGCCATAATACATTAGGACAGGACAGACCTCTCTTTCTTCTGCGGCTGATCAATTGCCAATCTCTAACTCAGTGTATTTGGTAAAGATTTTGGGCACAGATATGTAATAGTACTAGCATATTTGCAGAACGTGTTCTAGTATGATAATCATTAACCTGTAAATTGGCCGGGTATGTGCGCTCTGAGTTTATTTTTTTTAATCAAACTCACCATGCTGTGTGTATTGCTAGAGACTGGCTAAATTTTCAATTCTGCCTACTACTATTCTTCCTTTTTGGTGACAGCATGCTTTGCCAAGACCCTGAATTAAATGTTCAAGAGTTGGCAGACTGATGCACTGAATTAAATTCCTGCAGTTTGGATCATTTTAACTTCCTGTCAATAGCGGACTTGCCTTCCTGACATTAATCTTCTGGGTAGATATTAATAACCTTTTCCCCAGAAGAAATCTCATTTCCTAGCTACAAGGATTTGCCTGATATTTAAATCTATGACTAAACCTGCTTTAGGGACAGCACTGAAACTGGCAGTGTGGCTTTAAAGTGGGTCATTCAGTTATACTTCTCCCCCCTCCTCCTCCCCCCTCCCATCTGCTTAGGGAATAGGGAAGCTTAGTTGAAATTCAGCTCAATGTGGAGAAAGGATTCTGCACTGGCCAACAGGGATAAGCAAATCTGACTTGGCAAGAGTGCACAGGGAGAGAGAAAAAAAAGCTCTTGAACAGAGTGTTATCATCAATGTTTTTAGATTATATTCTGCCAAAAGAAAGCCAAAAGGCCAGCAAAATGTTAGGGGACAGCAATATTTCTCTTCTCATAATGGTTTCAGCCATTCAGAGTTGTTGAGAGTTGGGCAGCATACAAGTTTAATTAACAACAATAAACTATTATTGCTGGTCACATAGTGAGCCAGATGTTTAGACCGCATTTGGCATTTTTATCCACCTGTCGAATCTTTCCCAAAGACTTGGGATAGGCAGATGTTGTCTGATAGTATAAAAGGTGTCCTTGCAGGATGTAAGATGCTGCAAATAAAGCTGCCTTTTGCAGTTGACTGATGGTGATTTTTGTCAATGCCAATGGTATTCAAGTGGTGCTCCAGATGTTTTGGGATTGCACCCAAGGCGCCTATTACTATTGGTATTACCTTTGCTTTCTTTTGCCACAGTTGTTCTCATAGTTGCTGTCATGTTTTTAAAGAAAAAAAATGTTTAGTTTAAACATTGTTTTGCCAAGCCCTTCTTTGGGGCATTCACCTGAAAAAGGCCACCTTACAGGGACTAGTGTGCACCAGCTCTGTGTAGAATGGTAACGTCTGAGCAGGTAGCTTCTAAAGAGTGGGGCAGTTGTAAGACTATATTGGCCAGTGAAAGATGGAAGACCCTGTTGGCTTTAATACCGCTAAGTGCTGCACAATAATTTGGTCCCAAGACTGTTAATTTATAATAATACCCCTCAAGTTCAGTGAACATAGTACTTCTCATAGTAGTTAGGAAGCTGGAGTATTTTGGTTAAAAGCTTGCGTGGCCCTGAATGTATTCAGATGCTTTGAATACTGTTAACCTTGGCAAGAGGATAATAAATACCTTTCAAAGTGGGTTGAAAGTATTGTTGAGAGATTTGTAAGTAAAGGTGCTTGAAATTGTTTGAAATTCTAGTGTAGAGTAGTCATACTAGTGATTGTGATAAATATTCTTTGGTTTCAGCCTCTGGGGATTGCATTGTGGTTCAGAAATGTACAAAAGTTCACTTGCAAATGAATTAAAAGCGTTCAGGATGGAGGCATCCTGTGCTCTTTTAAGGCAAATTCAAAGGTCACATTGTGTGAAAATTCTGAGACTATGCTAATATCTAAAGGCAATTCCAACCTCTCAAGGACCCAAGATTGGAGAATGCTGGTCTAATGGCTTTTGGAGTACTCATTAAACACTGTAACAAGAGAAAATGTTTTGGAAATATTGCAAAGGTGCACACACAATTTATCATTATGCAAAACAGAGACCACAAGAAAGGTCCCTGCTTCAGCAATTTCGTAGCTAAAATCGCACAAAGTGAATTGCTTGTATTTTGTGCTTTCATTTCCATGCAATACCTTTCTTTGAAAACGGTAGCTAACAAATGCACGAAGGCTACTGAGTTCTAGTAATCTTTGTTGGCAAGTAGCTTTGCAAAAGCATGCTACAGTATATGCATGAAAGAAACAGATGGGTAGTTAGTTCAGTGGATAGGTGGGGACAATGCTAAAGTTACCCGCATAACACCAGCAATTTTTAGCCAATTCCTCTTCCTTTCCTCTGTTTGAACTGAGATTAAATGTTCCACACTTGCAGAACATTTCTTTTCCTTGCGATTTTGCCAGGGGTGTGCAGTTTGCATTGACTTAAAGATCACGTCAGGCTTTCTGCTGCATGTAAAAGGTCTCTCCAAAAATGAGAGAGGGGGGAATGTATTTGAGGGGGGGGATGTTCAGTTTTCGAAGGTGAAATGGATGTCTGTAAGTTTAAGATGTTCTCAAAATGCAACAGCAGCTAAATGGACAAAGATTTTGATTTTATGCATTTGGGGGCCTTTAAAGGGACTGATGTTCCACCTATACATTTGCACTTAATTTCTACAGCAATGACAGAAGCTTAGCTTGTTGCTCTGATGGAAATTTCTTGGTACATCTTAATGGGCTATTATGCATCTTAAAGCAAAGAAATCCAATAGCTGTGCTTCCCAGCCTTGGTAACTTTAAGCCAGCCATGGAAATCTGGAGGTTGAAGTCCACCCATCTTAAAGTTGTTAAGGCTGGGAAACATTGTTTTTATAGTGTGAGGAGCTTATGCTTATCATTTGTCTTGCTTGCTTAAGTTGTTTAAACCTGTTGGTTCTGCTGAAGCAGTTGCTAATCTAGACCAGGGGTAGGCAACCTTGGCTCTTTTATGACTCGTGGACTTCAACTCCCAGAATTCCTGAGCCAGCATCATTGTGGCTTGGAAACTTACTTCCCAATTCAGACAAGGACATCAACCAACCATGGATTGTCTCCTCTGTCTGCTTTGGTTTTGATTTACACCTCTCAAACCATCATTTATTTATTTATTTAAATTAGATTTATATCCCACCTTTCTTAATTTTATACATAACTCAAGGTAATAAACATAACCTAATGCTCTTTCCTCCTCCAATATTCCCCACAACAACAATCTTGTGATGTAAGTTGGGCTGAGAGAGAGCGATTAGCCCAAAGTCACTCAGCTGTCTTTCATGCCTGAGACAGGACTAAAATTTACAGCAGGGGTCTTCAAACTTGGCCCTTTTATGACTTGTGGACTTCAACTCCCAGAATTCCTCAGCCAGGCACGCTGGCTGAGGAATTCTGGGAGTTGAAGTCCACGAGTCATAAAAGAGCCAAGGTTGCCTACCCCTGATCTAGACAAATGTGGTGGGAACCGGGTTGGCTTTGATAGACAGAGATTTTCTTTTTCCTTCCTTCTTTTTCAAATCTCCATGGTTTTGAGTCAATTCTATGCTAGATTTTCTAAGCCTCATATTTTATACTGTATTATAAAAGCAGAATTTGTTGAATGAGTAATTGGTGCCTCTCTTCTTGATTCCAGTATCTATATCATGGGCTTGGTCTTGGAGTGGATAAAAAACAATGGTGGTGTTACAGCTATGGATAAACTCAGCCAGATTAAATCACAAATGGTTTATGATATTATCGAGAAATCCAATGGATTCTATGCGTAAGTATGATTCCTGCAAAGAGAGGGGCCTATAGCAAGGCATGACTTGTTGCCTGAATATATCTGTTCATGTCAAGAAAGAGGGAATTAGCTCCTTTAAAATTGCCACTGAAACTTTTCCCCATGTTAGAGGCAGGCAAAGAAGTTAATGATCACAACAGAGACCTTGTGCGTCCTTTTGGATAGATACAAAAGAATGATTATGAATCTATAGCAAACGGAGGAACACGTCACGTGAAACATTACTGTGCAAAGCAGAAATATTTTGAAAACATATTTAAAACTTTTATCTGATGTAGGAAGGGGCAGAAAAAGATAACCTTTTAAAGTAAATAAGTGAGTGGTCACTTTTATAGTTAGTCGACTGTTTGGCAAAAGAAGGGAATACAGCTCAAGAGTAAAATAACAAATTGGCAAATAGGCTTGCAGATTAACAACTTGTTTCATCATACAGCTGCCTCTTTCCTTCAAAATATGTGTGGAATAGCTATAATGCAGAGGTGGGTTAACATGTTGAACTTAACCATGACTGAAGAATCACAATTGGCTGGATGCCCAGAACACGCTAAGCCGTAAACATAAAGTCTCTGCAGAGATCCAGATTTTAAAAGGAAAGAGATGATTGGAGTAAATGGGGTGTTTACTCCATAAAGCTTGTACATCCCAGGAAAATATTACTTCATTTAAGGAGAGGCTGATAGGTGTGATGTGCTCTATGTATCTTGAATCACCTTTCCCCTTCAAATCTTCTCAATCCTAATAAACTTTCCTGAAACATTTCTTGAAATGGCTTGCAAACAATATATTAAAATTTACGATGGCTTAGTGCAATGTATGAACCAGGCAGGGTTGGAGTAATAGGCAAAAGGTCCCCGGGGATCTGCTGTGCCAAGTGTAGTAGGACAGCAGGAGCAGTAACTGGCAGTCTCCACTTCCAGTTCTACTCATTATCGGTTGGACTCCCACCTCTGAGGAGGAAGAAACCCACTGGCTCATATCTCTAGGGAACTTCAGCATTCACCCCACTGTCATGGTCCAGAGATTTTCCGTTTTTTTTTCCAGGCTATGGCACCTGGCAGGTAAAACATTATTTCCCTGAGTTTCTGGTCAAGAGGTAAAATTAAAGACTAAATTTTCATTAAAGAAACTTGGCCATGTTTAAGTGAATTTTTCTTTGTTGCTCTCTCATCCTTGGAGTCAGTTTACTCTCAGACTTGCTTCCCACCTCGCTTTTTAGCATCTTTGTTCCAAAATGTGGTTAAACTAACAGTTTAACGACAGTTTCACACAGATTGCCTGAGAACAAACTTCAGGGTCCTGGACTTAGCATATCACTTCAATTATAGGGATATGCTTGGTTTGTTGGTTAATTTAGTACAAATATTTTTTTAAAGTTCCTTCTAAATGCGAGGCACATTGAGCTGAAGACAAGCATTATCATGTCTCAAGAAAGCATAATGGCTTAAGCCAGGGGTCTTCAAACTTGGCCCTTTTATGACTTGTGGACTTCAACTCCCAGAATTCCTCAGCCAGTGTGCCTGGCTGAGGAATTCTGGGAGTTGAAGTCCACAAGTCATAAAAGGGCCAAGTTTGAAGACCCCTGGCTTAAGCCATTCTGCCTTGTCTTTCCACTTATACAGTGCCTCCTCCTTTTTGTTTAGGTAGGGAAGTCTAGTTGATGCTTATGTTTAGAAGGACCAGAGAGATTACGGTTTTTCAAACAATTGTTGCCACTTTTCAAAATGTTACTCCTCTAATTTAGTTACTAATTACTGTTTGATGTTTATGAAACAATTATCTCCTAAGAGCATGGGTGAATCCAAGAAATTATGGCAATTGCCATGACTTTTATTTATACTGCTCTTGCAACCAGAGGTGATATGCTTCTTCAAATTAGACACTGGGGAAAATCAGTAGGACTCAGCCTAGTCTCTCTCTCTTCTGGTCTCTCAGGGCTCTTACATTAACTAATGAGAATTATGCTTTAGTTCAAGAAAAACTTCAAAGGCTTAATGATTTTTTAACAGAAAAATTAAGGACTGTTCACATTAATTAGCCTTTGACTCTGATTTGCAACATGTTAAGTGTTCAGCGCAGTGCAAGCTGGTGTGCATAATGATCAGGTATGTCCTTTGCATGAGAAGTGCTTATCTGGTCGGGCTGGCTAAGAATAATGAAAGTTGACCTCCAGCATATCAAGTGGACACCAAATTGGAGAAAACTGCTGGAAAAAGTCCTTTCGTTCAACAGAGTTTTTAAATGCCATGTCGTTATCTCTTGAATAGGTCTTTGCAGAGAAAAGCAGCTACTGTGACTGAACAAATACCACACTATTTAGAAACATAACTAGCTCACTAATAATTCAGTGCATCAACTAATATATATTATAACAAATCAATAAAAGTGAGGTGGTAATAGCTTCTATGCCTGTGACTTTTACAGATGCCCCGTGGAAAAAAAAAGCAGAAGCAGAATGAACGTTCCCTTCCGGATTGGCAGCATTAAGGGTGATGAAGCTCTAGAAAAGGAATTCCTTGAAAAAGCTGTAGAAAACCACATGATATCTCTGAAAGGTCACAGGTAAGAGAGAGATTTGGGAAAAAAGCTTTGTCTCAGGTTTTTCTAGAATATGTCTGGATAAATTGAGTCTTGAGCTTGTGGATTATACATATATGTTTGGATGCATCCACACATACTCATTCAACAATGACAAATACCTTCTGTTTTCAGAATTAATGGACAAAAATATAACACTGTTGGGTGATGGTTTCAGTTGTGTCATTGTTGAGATCGACAGAATTACAAGCAGGCAAAAAACTATTGGGAATGGGAGCGATTTCTGACTTTCTGCTGGCTTCCCCACTGAATTTGCTTGTGATATGCCTGCAGGGAGAAAGTCAGTGGAGAAACCAACAGGGAAGGTTACAAGTTGCTTGGGTAAATCTCTGCCACCCACTCACTTTCCCTTAGACCCTCTGAGTTTATGCCAGCCACTCATACATGTACACACACTCTCTGTTCATACAACACCCTTGTGCGCCGTCTCCAACTTCACCACAACTCTTGGGCACACCTCACACCCTCCATGACCCTTGCCCCACCTCATGTGCATCCCCTTGCTCCCTCCCCATCCAGCAGCAGCAGTTTTCCTGCCTGCTGGCCTTGGATTTGCAACTTCCCGTTGGCTTCTCCAATGAATTTGCTAGTGAAAAGCTGGCAGGGAGCTAGAAAACACAACCGTGTTTAAACTTCCTGCTGGCTTCCCCATTGACTTATGGGAAGCCATTGGAGAGTGTTGAAAATGACAGTCACATGACTGTAGCTGACCATGGTAGTGTGGTAGTGCTGAAACAGCCACAATTACCCAAATTTCAATCCCATAGAAATAATGGTCCTAGATTTAGGACACATTCTGTAAGTTAGCCCATTTGAGTTACATTGATTCAGAAACAGTTGCCCTATGACACACTGTTCTGTCCATTCAAAAGTGACAAACATGAACAGGCACAAGAGATTTAGTAGTATATAAATGAGGGTTATAGTGAATGTTTGCTCAACTATCTTTTTTAAAAATATAAACTTTTCACTCAAGCAATAATTTCTGGTTCCCCAAGCAGTTTTGGCAATCTTGGATTGTATGAATGTGGTAATTTCAAGATGAAATATAGACACTGAAAACATACTGTACATACTGGATGATTCAGGATCCTTTCTTTAAGGACAGTGAAACATATTCAGATGGGGAAAAGCAGAATTTAATCCCTTATATTGATAATAGTCTAAAAGGGAAATTGTTTGGCTCTGAGGTAAATGAGCCTCATGAAAAACACCCTCTTCTGGTTCTGACCTCATGATCATATAATGGTGACAACTGGAGATTTTTCACAATTACTTTAGGATTTAGGATACAGATGCATTCTCCAATAGAGCCCAAGTTCTTCCAGTGCTCAGCTGATCCTGGTTGAAAATATATACTCTTCTACATTCCTTCCATGTAATTCTCCATTCTTTTATTTTTTCTGTGTTGTGTCTATGGAGATTATCAATCATCCAGATCATGATTGTCCAAAGGTGCTTTTCTAAAAAAAGGCAGCTGGACTTTCTTGGTTTTTCCCCCTTGAAAACGTTTTGCTTCTCATCCAAGAAGTTTCTTTAGTTTTCAAGGAAAAAAACCAAGAAAGTCCAATTGCCTTTTGGAAAAGCACCTTTGGGACATTCTTCTATGTTCTTTTCTTCCCAATTTCATACTGCTGGACGGCTTGCCTTGGATGTTCCTTTTATACTTATACTTTCACAGAACAGTAAAAAGTCATAGTGCTTTTAGTATAAATGAATTATTTTGGAACCTGCCAAGAAATAAATGTGTTTGTGAACCCGAATCACCATGCACCCCTTCCTCTCCTCTCCCCATTTTCCTTCATATTTCAGATCTGTGGGAGGAATTCGGGCATCTTTGTATAATGCGGTGACGATTGAAGATGTTGAGAAGCTAGCAACGCTGATGAAAAGCTTCATGAAGCTGCACTCATAACAAACTAAATTAGATGGTGTTGTGATGAACCACTTTTGAAATAAACCAGCAAAGAATTAGTAATTAGAAAAAATTAATACAAAATATTCCATGGCATTATATTTTTGAAACAAAGATGTTGATGTTTTTTTCTGGCCAGTCAAATATGCATAGCAGTTTTGGCTGACTTGAAGACAGCCAAGCTGCACCTTTGACCCTAAAACCAGTGCTTGTTTCTGTGACTGTTCAGTGGTCCATAAAAGGATTGGTAAGATTTTAATTTTTAAACAGATTATATCGGTCATAAGATACCAAGAATTCTCTGGAACGTACACTCAATGCCGTACACAATCTAAGCTTGTATAAAATATATTTAAGTATACTTTGTTACATTTTCCCGACGTTTGTTTCTTCCTTGATTTATTTAATTTTTAAAGTCTGAATCTTCAGCTTGAGCTGGCCATTTTTTCAATGTCTGATCATTCCAAGTGCCTATCTCTAAAAGTGCCTAAAGAAACCGCCGCCAATTATGCAGACCACCGGCCTCAATCTGGCAAATATTTTGAAACAATATATGCCTAATGAATTGAAGGCCTGGCTCAATTGTTATTCTACAACTGTTAACATACAGTTCCAAGGTGCAGGATTTTTTTTTTACTTTTAAAATAGTATGCTTAAATCATTTTGGCAATCTTAAATTCTCACAAAAGTAAAAAAATTCTTTCGTATCCTTTCCCCTTTTGAAGTCAACATTACTTTCATATTTTTATAAAGCTGAGTTGACCCCAAAGTTCACCTTTGGTCAGATGTATAATTTTGCTTTTTCAGAAAAGGCAACTGCAGTAAGCTGGGACTAAATGTGTTCTGCACACTTAATTCATAGAATCAAACTTAAAAGATTGGAAGGATCCATGGAGATCATCTAGTCCAACTCCCTTCCCAATGCAGGGTTCCTGTCCTCAGCCCTGCATGGTCTCCATCTAGGAGAATTGGCACCTGTGAAACAACTCATATTCTTTAATTTTGAATGCCATCTTCATATATTGTGATCTTCATACACTCCCCATATTCACACCCTCAATCCAATTCTCTCACCTGTCCAATAAAAAAAGTAAAACAATTAGAACCTCAAAATTAACTATATTGTTAATTTATAACATTGAACAATCTCTCCCCAGCTGCTTTTTACAAAACAAAATAGCACATTATAAGTTGGTGGTTTGATCAGTTTCCATCTCCTTAAAATGGAAGCTTATCACACAGGGAACAGAATTTCCAACTGAATGCAGAATTATATAGCGTTCAATATGGATACAGAATCATATCTGGGTAGAAGGCCATATGTTGTCTCATGGGAGAAGCATTGAGGACTATATGAAGGTGGGGAAGGTGTCCATCTCCAGAGTAAGCTATATTTTGCTTAATTCCAATCATTTTTAACCAGATGTTTGACCTTTCCAATCACATCTAGATTTAAAAGTATTACATTATGAAAGACCTTCTGTCTTCTACAGTATCTGCCTGTCCTGTTGTGATAGTTCATATACTTTGGGTCTTTCTAATAAAAAGTTCTCCCTGGGATTTGTATATGTCTTGTTCAAACCTGGTTCTTCAAAAGTGGCATTTCATCCAGCTTTGAATTAAGTTGGATAGCAGGCTCCTTTGATGTTAGTTTTATTCTTTCCAGATATATGCAATTTTATTTTCCCAGTGTTGTTAATTTGCTTTTAATATTGTATGTTGCTCAGAGTCACTATAAAATCAGTCAGCTGTACAAATGGGATAAATACATTTTAAAGAAATATTGGCTTCTTTAGTTTAAGACTAAAACTGCACAAGATTCCTTCAGAAATTGCATTGCACATCATTTTGTACAGTATTAACATTATTTAAACATCGTTACTATAAATAATATTCCTTGTTTATTTCTTGGCATAATGTCTGAAGTAGATGGCCATGTACCCCTTTAAACGACATAAGCGTGTCTGCTGATTTTAAAATAGCAATGTTTTATTTTTTGTATTCCATCATTAACTGAAAAAATAATAAAAAACTTAAAATAGTTTTTTGTGATTTGATTTTCTTTTAATATAAAACATAAAAATGTATGTTCTGTGAGACTCATAGGATCATTATAAAACTTCTTAAATGTCATAAAGGTCAGGGAAAGATATTTTTTATTAATCTCACAAAGTTGAACTTTGTTTAGGATGAGAATCCCAACTTTATTTTTTTAGGAGAAAGAGCACATTTCATAAAATGGCTGTGCATCCATTTACAATGTGCCCAAATACCAGAGAACCATGTTTGGGATCCAGCATTTAGTTTCCTCAGCTAAAGACTACAATATCAAGATCCCTCCTCCTCCTCCTCTTCTTTGCTGTTCACAGTATTCTTCCTAGTCTTCTCCAACACCAAAGTTCAAAAATGTCAATACTCTTCCTATTTTGTTTCTTCAAACTCAACTTTCGTTTCCATAGAGCAGTGATGGCGAACCTTTTAGAGACCAAGTGCCCAAACTGCAACCCAAAACTACATATTTATTGCCGGGTGCTGGATGGGTGTGGCTGACTGGGTGGGCATGGCGACAGTGGCCACGGCCGACTGTGTGGTCGTGGCTGGCGTGGGAGTGGCCACCTAGATGATGCTTGTGGGGAGAGACACCTGTGGGGGCTGGGCAGGGTTGGGGGAGATCCAGGGGGTCTCTGGCGGCTGGAGTGGTGGGCCGGAAGCTTGTCCTGTGGGGTGAGGCCAGGCAGGGCGGGGGTGCCAATTGCCGCGGGGCAAGGGCCAGGGCAGCTGCTGCCTGATACCATCAGCCCCTGGACCCAGGCCAGCGAGTGCATGGGGGTAGATGGTGTCCATCAGCAGCCACAGCCTGCCTGCTGTCCTGCATCATGGTGAACCGACCCCTCCGAGCAGCCCAGCTCAACCAAGACGGAGGGAAGGCAAGGCAGAGAACCGGTTGTTAAATGATTTGAAACCCACCACTGGTCGCTTCCAAAAGCCGTTCACTCACTCTCCCGCCAAAATCTGCTCCTTTTATAGATTTCCCTCACCCCACCCAGCTCTCACAGCTGTTCCTGGACTTGACTCCGCATGCATGGAGAGGAGGAGGGGAGCAGCCCGGCCCTGCGTCCCTCTGTGGCAATGGCGTGCGTGCCGACAGAGACAGCTCTGCGTGCCGCCTGTGGCATGCGTGCCATAGGTTTGCCACACGGATATATACTATACATATTTACATACATACATACATACATGAGAAGTCATAATTATATGACAGTATATACCAGTGGTTCTCAACCTGTGGGTCGGGACCCCATTTGGGGTCGATCGACCATTTCATGGGGGTCGCCAAGCAAGGCTGTCCGCCATTTTTTTTGTCCGCCATTTTTTTCCCCCTTTTCCGGTGGGTGCCTTACCTCCCTTGGGCTGGGCCAGCTGGTGGTCAGCCTGCTCCGTCTCTGCTGCTTGCCAGCTACTCCTCGGCCGGCGCAGGGGGCGGAACCACGCATGCGTGGCGCTCCCGGGCAGGGAAAGTCCTCGACTTACGACCGTCTGGGTAGTCCTTGACTTACGACCGGTTTAGTCCTCGACTTACGACCGGTTTAGTCCTCGACTTATGACCGGTTGGGGTCACGGCATTAAAAAGGTTGAGAACCACTGGTATATACAGTATTTGCAGCGTTGACAGTTGCATTGTTGGAGGGAGGGAGGAATATATGAATATGTATACCTGTATGTATACTATATACTATACATACATATATCTTTGAAATTGAAGAAAGAAATAATAATTATGCTGATGACTCTAGCCTGATAGCTGGAAATGCAAGTTTTGAAAGCTCTAGCAATAAAAATCAAGGGCCAATGTGAAAAACATGGTGCTAAAATTAAATACAAAAGAGAACAAACTAATGCCAACAGGTAGAACCACCAGCCTTAGAACTGTTTGTGAAGATATTGAAGTGATGGATAGTAAAGGAACTAGCCCTCAAGAAATACATCACAGATTAGCACTTGCAGAGTAGCCATGAGACTTTGGGAAAAAATATTCAAATGCCATGATGTGTCTATATTCTGTATACAAACATCAGAATCATGCCAGCTATGGTATTTTCTGTGACACTCCACATATATTGAATAAATGAAGGGAAGATTATACAGATTATGATCCATTATATTCCTTTGCCAACCTGAAGCCAGTCTGCTTCACATCCCTACTCACTTCTACCGGTCCCTCTTCAGAGACTGTTTAGCACAACAAACTTGTGTATCTGAGATTTTGCAAGCAAGAATTCCATTTTCTGTGCCAACTGAAGATGTTGCTGGTGCTGTCATCTTGGCCAATGATATTGACTAGTGGAATGGGAAGTGATTGAAAGCAGCTCTTGTCTATCAAATAAAAGAAAAATGGTTCCATTAGAGTCAAAGGCACTGATTTTGCGCCTCATGATGCATGTGGCAGTTTCCTGTTCTGAGGAGACTGAAGGTGATGTAGTTTCATTTCTTTGAAATGCAAGTTCCTATGTGAACCTTATTTTGCATTATTTTAAAAGGTTATATCCATTTATCTGAAATGCATAATCTCATTCTTGAGCATGAACATGTTTGATATTAAACTGTCTTCCTAGATAGCTTTATTTTTTAACAGACATGACAGCATAGATCTTTAATCTTGTCTGCCAACCCAAGATGTGCTGACATTAAATTAAATCTGAGAGATGAATTTAATATCACCTTAAGGTGGCTGAACATAGCAAAGAAAACAGATTTCTTATTTTGTGCCTCCAAATTATTAAATGTTAGAAGTAACATTAAAGATGGTAGGATATTTTGATGGATTAGTTTCTGTCAAATTAAGGTGAAAACGTTATTAGGCTTGGTATTATATCAGCATATGATTAATGTTTGTTATATTACACTCTTTGAATGTTAAATAAAATGTGGGGAAAAATCTCTTCACGTTTGATAAGGATGTGCATAATTAAAAACTGAAACGTTACTTTGTTTTTAAGTGAAATCAATCATTTTAATTGGAAAGAAATATCTCTTATTTCTGTTGGTAATTGCACTCTCGATAATTTTAAATGGAGATTCATAACAGTTTGTGATAAATTGGCTCCTTTTAGGCTAAAAGAAGCTCAGAAATTATAATTAGCCCTGGATTATTCCTGGATGACTAGATCAAAGAGATTGAAGGAGATAGGAAGAAAAGCTGTTTAATACACGAAGATTTATTAGGTTTTAAAGCAGCTCAAGAATATATGTATGTTGGTAGCAAAAACAAAAGCTCCACAATTCCAAGAGGGGAAAAAAAAGCATCTTAAAGAGTATGAAAGGAAATGAGTATTTTAGTCTCTGGACAACATTTGAGCTGAAGAATTTATGTGTCAGGGATTTAAATGTGCAGAAATATTGTAGCAGGAATTGCTACTAAAATGATTAGAAATCATAATTTGAACAAATATAATTAGCTCAATCTGATCTCAAGTTCATTCTCTCTCTCTCTCTCTATTTTTTTTTCTCTCTCTCTGTCTCTCTCTTTCCTTCTATCCCTCTCTCTCACTCCACTCCCAAAACCAGGACTTTTAAAAAACACTAGACAACCTATTCCCCATTGGGTCCTTCCTTCCTTCCTTCCTTCCTTCCTTCCTTCCTTCCTTCCTTCCTTCCTTCCTTCCTTCCTTCCTTCCTTCCTTCCTTCCTTCCTTCCTTCCTCCCTCCCTCCCTCCCTCCCTCCCTCCCATGCAACATCATTATGCCATCTCATGAATACTATGCCTGTGTCTATTCAGGTTTCTTTCCTGTTTCGCTACTTGTACTAGTTATTTTTACCCCCAAGTGTAAATTTCTTCTCTTTCATTTCTTTCTAGAAGGTCCAGAAAGAAAAGGAGAGAGAGAGGTGATCCATATGCATGTTTGTGTCTCTTCTGTGGCAGTATGGCAGTAGATTCTAAGAGAGTAAATGGTTGATATATGCAGATGGTGAAAAATTAATATTGTGAGTGGAATACAGTACATAATTTATTTTAATTAATTAATTCAATTAAGGTACATATTTTTTGTTTTGGTCTTGTCCTGTTTTTTTTTGGTATATTGGCAGGTATACATACACACCTAATCTCCAAGCATGTAGCATGCAGACACGTATTCCCAAGAAAAGTTTCACTTATGATAGAATTGGCAATCTGATGTTGACAAGGTGGGGAAGGTAGACATTGAAAAGGATTTGGATTGAATTTATGATTTTTTTTCAGTTCCCTTTTTTTCCCAGGAGACAAGCATCATGTTACGTTCAAGATTACCTTCCTTTCAAGCAAGTGCAGTAAGTAATATGTCAGCATCTATCACCTTGTATCAGCTTTATTATACTGCTGTTATCAGAACTCTTCCAGAGTTGAAGGTGACATGCAAAGGGAAAGCCTTTGTAATGTCAGCAGCAAGGTGAAAAGTTACAGTAAATTAAGCCAGAAAGTCTGTAAAGCAATCTGCTTGCTTGCAGAGTGTGTCTAATAACACTGGAACATTTTCCTGAAAATAAAGAAGAAGAAGAAAATCTAAATTTTGCTGAGCTTTCAGAAGGTGATATACTGTAGTCTCAGAAAAAGTAGGTGAAGCAACTGATATGTTCTCTGAGCCAGCCTATCTTGAAACACACAATCCTTTGGTATCTACTGCACTCCTTCTCTAGAGGGGTGAAAAATCCCTGGGCCAATTAAATTTAGTTTCCTTCATATACAACAGCCTTAGAAGGAAGAGTTCAGTTACAATTCCTTTCCTTAAGAGTGAATTTCTCCCTTGTGGCAGGGGATTGTACTTTGATTGTTGAAGCCTCCCAGGAGCAAACAGGGGTATGTTTAGTGATATCATTATGTCATCTAAGTGAGGTGGGGCAAAATCAGTTGGAGGGGAAGTTAGAAACTGTTTACCTATAATATTTTCAGTCAGTCAGTCAGTCAGTAAGTTTATGGTTGTAACCACAGGTCATAATATGTAGTGTGCCATAAAATACAATAAAATAACAGT